TTACATTTGAACCAAAAATTTCAGGTATCCTAAATTCGTTAACTATGCAAAAATAAACATAACATAATAACTTATAAATTTGTTGGGGAAATGTCCTGTTGGGGAAACAGTGTTGGGGAAACGTCTTGTCAGGGAAATGGTTGTTGGGGAAACGTACCAGAACCGTTTTTCATTATACAGTCTAATATATTATTTACTTTTCAACTTTTCATTGACTTCATCAAATCAATATTTTACCTTTGATAATGAATCATCATCCATTATATCATCAGGAAAATGGGTACAAATATTATGTGTATTATATACACATAATATTTGTACCCATTTTCCTGATGATAATACTGTATATATATCTATAAATAAATAAATTGGTAGCATGAATATGAATTGTAATAAATATACAGTCAAACCTTGTTATAACTATACATGATATGGTAATTAGCTAATTACTGTAAATACGTAATTTGTAATTAACGTAATTAATTACCACTTTCACTCTTTAAAAACATAATTACGTAATTAATTACGGGTGACAAAATTAATTACAGGTGATGAAATTAGTTACAGGTGATGAAATTAATTACGGGTGACGAAATTAGTTACGGGTGACGAAATCAATTATGGGTGATGAAATTAATTATGAATAACAACGAATTAATTATTGGAAATATCATAATACAAGTCACTCCCGTTATAGCAACACCTTCCGTACAAACCAAAAATGTCAGTATGACGAGAATGTCATTATAACGGGAGTTCATATAGAAGTCATATGAGAATCATTATCACGTGATTTTGTAATTTTATTTTTATTATATATTTTATTTTTATTTCATTCATGTTTTATCAGGAAATTTAAAACTTACACCAGGTCAAAATTGACCAGCATTATACAGAAGTGTTATCAGAATTTTCCATGGTGCTGGTCAATCTTGATCCTGGCGTAAGTTTTATTTCCTTATTATTATGTTTTTTCAGAAATGAGAATGATTTTGATTGGTTCTCCCATTATACTGACATGTCGTTATAACAGAATAAATTCTATAATTCTAAAAAAAGTTGACAAATTATGTCATTATACTAGTATAACGAGATAAATAATAGGTGTCATTTAAATTTCGTCATTCGTAATTGATTTCGTCACCCGTAATTGATTTCGTCACCCGTAGTAGTAATTAATTTCGTAATTACGTATTACGTATTACGTATTATGTTTTTGGCAAAATAATTACCATCCCATGTATAGTCATGCCACTAACCATCAGAGAGGAGCAGTTCACAATGGCTCTTCCTATATATTTAACTATGCAAAAATTCATGATAAGGTAAAATGTGTTTATTTAATTATTAACTACAGGGAGGGGTATTATTAGATTGTTATATGTTATTATGGACATGATCTCTCTAATTTGGTCTAAAACCAAGTGTATTTATACCTCTTCCCTATAGAAAATTTACAGATGGAAATTCTGTATGAATTATAATTTTTATTGTTATTAAATGATATGTCACAGGAAATGTAATTACATATATAAAATAGAAAATCTGACTTGTATAGCCAATCAGTTTTTAAAATATCTATAACAAATTCAACATTATTATTAATCAAAATAAAACTATATCATTATAGCTTTTTAACAAATCCTCACTCATATTTATAGAGGCTTTCTATTATACATGTGGCCCAAAATATTTTGACGCTGTCATAAAGGGTTGCTACACTTATATTTTTAATAGTGAGTGCTATAATTAATTTTCACTTTCTACCATCAAAATTGGAATAATTTTGACCATTGAAATCACCAAACCAATTTTTTACCAATATTACCTTTATAAACTTGGTGTGTGGTTGAAAAGATGAAAAATATTGTAAGTTTTCATATGGGTATAGCTTTATATGGATTGTTGTTTATTAAAGTTTAGCAAAAATGGCAAAAATTTATTTATCAATACACAAAGGAAAAATGTGGGCAGGAGATTATCAAGAGTAATGACCAAAAAGAGATAATTAATTTCAAAATGCGATAATTTGGTTAACACCAAGACCTTTTCTATATATTTTATCAATAACATCCCCTAATGTTTTTCTAAAAGTAGGGATAAGTCCTGAAAAATCCGTGTCAAATTTGGTGGAGATTGCAGAGCAAATTTCGGAAAAAACACTTGAAAATCGATTGGTGTGACAAATCGTTCGACTGTTATTTTATTTAAAGTAATTTTGATTAGTTGATTGAATATTTTAAACTATTAAACTTCAAAATTTGTATTAACGGAACTATTAACTAAATGGTTAATATAAATGTATCCACAACATTATTAATCATACAAGCATTTGAAAGATCACAATGCTCGAAAGTATTACAAATATTCGAAAATTTGCTTAAATTAGAATATTCGAATATTAATTGCGAATAGGAGGAACACTGATTGATCCCGAATTTATTTGTTATGCAAAATTATTATTTGATTTATTTGTAACACATGTAACTCGAATACTTGAATTTAATTACGATTCGAATAAACCTTATTCGAATAGATAGCACCCCTATTCTCTGATATGAGGGAGGGACCCAGAATTGATGTATTGTATTTCATACAGCACCCGAGTTTTCCCGAATCATTTGACAAAGATAGTAATGGTATAATGGTATAATAGTAATAATAATCATTTTTCTTTTTTTAATTCGCAAAAACAAGTGGAAGATCCTACGATTACCGTTAATGAATAAAAAAAAAAAAATATGGCAAATGAGGAGTTTGACACGGGTTTACCCCTATATTTTTTCGTGAAAATATCAAAGATTTCCTTCTCAATTTTAATATGAAATATATATAATTCTTCTTTATTACCTTGTTTTCGGGGACTCTTGATTTTATACTTTCTTATGCTTTCTTTCCTTTAAATGAATCAGTTTCAGATAATTTATCAAGTAAATATTTAACATTAAGACTGTCGTCCTCTTTTTGATTGATGTAGATCGATTTTTGATCCTTCCCAACCAACACAAGTTCATGTTTGGACTCGAAGAACTTCACCGCCAGCTACTATATCAATAATATGTTAATGTTTCCCCGTTCTGTCGGAAATAGAGGTCTAAATAATATATTACACCCGCTGCATCTTTTACTTCTTTTTTTTGTGTATGCGGGAGGGAGGCTTCTTACTATATTTCAATCCAAGTTTATTGACTAGACTCTGTCATAGTTGTAGTCAGAAGTTGTATATATCGATTAATTCTTTGACCTCCGATGTCAAAGGTTTTGGCTTGATGGTCGAGTTTTTCCACAGAAATCTTCGATTTTACAATCAATTATAATATTGTGCTGTCCGGAAAATTTATTTATTTAAAACGAGTGTTTGGTATGAATAATTTGTAATTTTCTTAAAAAAAGTTTTTATGTAAAAGTAGACGATTAAACTTTTCATATTCAAATAATAATAAATAGAGAGACGCGTGTGTCATGTAATCTTTTTTATATTTTTATTTATTCAATAAAAAAAGATTAAAAATTACAAAATAAATAAATAAGAAAATTAGTTATTATATAATATATTTTTTATATTTTTTTTCAAAGGAAGTTCCTAGATCATATTTAAAGATAATCAATCAACTATTAACAATAAATTAACAGAAATTATAATTAGAAAAAATAAATAAATTAATAAAATAATAGTAAAATAATAAAATTCAAAAGCTAACAAAATTCAAAAGATAAAATAAACAAAATAAACCCAAAAGTAAAATTTCAAAAAAACATCAAAAAACGTACATATATAATGTGTTATTTATTTATTTCCTAATATAGTCCAAAAAAATTTTTTAATTTCTTTCTTTCGTTTTACTCGTTTACTTGTTTTAATGAATAAATGAAGAATTAAATACTTTCTCAGATACAATATACTTTTCTTCTTTTCTTGATAATCTCTTAACACAAGCCATAGTGCTTGGTAAAGTCATGAACAACAAAGCACTAACAGGTAACCAGACATAATCAGTATAATTCTTCCATGATCTTGTTTCCGACGTTTTCTTGAACAATTCTTCATCGATAATCTTGTGTAATCCTTCGTATATCATAGCACATAGAAGCAATGGTATTGGTAGGAATAAACTGACAACTTGCACTAATGAGAACATTGACGCATAGAACAAATCTGTTTGAAGTGGGTTTTGAACACCCAAATAATATTCGAATAAGGTCGAATAAGCTAAAATTAATTGTATTATAGGTATGGCGGCAATCATCAACCATCCGGATGTACACGGTATCATATGAGCTTCCAATACGTGAAAGACTACTTCAAGTTTATCAATAAATGAGCATGACATTAGACACGATGACAATGAACGTCTTCCTGGCGATGATGATAAATTCTTTTTCGTTATTGGTTTTGATATTATTGGTGCGTGTGGTATTATTGTTGACGATAACTTTTTTTCATTTAATAAATATCCATTTTTATAACCGTTACTGTTGGTATGGGCAGTGGCGTTGTTGTGATGATCGGTAAATGCTGATTTCAGTGAATATGCGACATCTGCTACTCCATTGTAGTGACGTTTTGCTTGTACAAAACGTGCGTATATATTTGACATATAGCCAGCTGTTTGTACATTTGTAAGGTTTATGGGGACAAATATTGGTACTGATCTGGCCACACCGCCTGTCTTAAAGAAACATTTTAACCACATGTGTAAATCTTCTCCAACTGCATCTTTATCTGTATCCCAAAATCCTACTTTTTCTGCGAGAATCTATAACATATATATATTTATTTATTTATGGAAATAAATGTGAATGATAATTATAATAGTTATGATTTATATATTACAAGAAAAATAAAAAATTTACCATGCTTAGACTATAAGTGGAACAAGGGAAAGCTAAACCTCTTCGATTGCTCAGATTTTGCATGACCATAATCGACCACATTATATCAGTTACACGAACAGCAGCCGGTACATCCAAAGCGTTCCTTGAGAAAAAAATAGGTGGAGAGCAGATGGTGGCATATGGCTCTTCTGATTCAGTCAGAGCTTTCTCGACATGTCTTACATAAAGTTCAGGTATGGCCGAATCAGAATCAGTTATCGTGAAGACTACACGCCTTTTATCAATATGTTTTCTGGCAAAATGTTTACAAGCTTCTTTAGCAGCATAAGCAACATTACTTCCTTTGCCTCTGCTCTCACCCGGTAAATCTTTTGGATGTGCAGTGATGATGAAATCTAAAAAGTAACCATCAAAATTTTTTTGTAAGCTTGAGCCTTTTGATGCATAATTCAGCTCAGATTCTTCCATTGCTAAAATTATTACGTATGTTGAGGATGCATTTCTATAACAATACAGCAGCGAAGGGAGGAATATTGTTATTTTATTTGTTATATCATTATAATAAAACAAAATAAGACGTTATATTTTACCTGTGTTGAGACAATCGTTTAATGGTATCTCTTAATAAAGGTTCAGGTTCGTCGTAGTTTGGAATGATGAAGGCATGAACGAAATGACCGTCAGGATGTAATTTAAGAGCATTTTCCATATCATTGTATCTACCGTCAATATCTGAAGCATCTTTCATGCTTAATGGAGCGTAACCATTACCACTTTTAGTCATATTGATATTATTGTTAATGTTAATGTTAATTATAATGTTACCGCCAAATCCGTTGTTATTAGTGTCATGATTATTACTACTATTATTATTACTGCTATTGTTATTATGATTATTATTATTATTATGGTTATCAATTGTATTATTATTATTAGATGTATTATTAGAAGTATTGATTATTGTACAATTATTATTACTATTATTATTATCATCATTACTATCATTATTATTATTATTTTTATTATTATTACTGTTGTTATTGCTATTATTATTATTATTATTGGTATTATTATTATTATTATTATTACTAACGATAGTTGCTCTGATAGGAGAAGTTCTTCCACTGCTTGTACCGATACTTTTTACAGAATCTCTTGAGATTGGCGATAATTGTTCTTGAAAATTATTCCAATTTCTAATGTTTCTTTTAATATTTCTCACAGTTATACAAAATTTCAGGAAATGATTTACTGAAATGTATAAAAATGTGGTAAAATAGATTAATAGAAACCAGACATAAACGCGCGGAAAGAATAACGGACCAACTATTAAAGCAACTATTGCACCAAGAGCTGTTGCTGGTGCAACCAATTCGAAAACAAGATGCCGTATATTCATTACTATTATCGTTTTTATGTGATGGTGATGAGAATGTATATATATTATATAACCTTTTCTTTTACAATTTATTTTTGAATGAATGATGTAATCAAAAATTTGATCTATAAAATGTTTCCCAATTTGTGAATTCTGATGATTAATTAGATACTATGTATATGACAGCATATATAAATATATAATTAATTGATTATCTATTGTTTTATGTGATGAATACGTTTGTTAATTCTAAAATAAGAGGCAAGCAGAGAAGAAAAAGTTAGATGCTGTCAAAGATTGGAAACAATGAGGATAGATAAATGATTTACTTACGGAATATTGTTACATGTAGAGAGGTATGCAAGTTGTAGAGTAGGAGGAGAAAAGTACAAAAAGGAAATGTTAATAATACCAACGTTAATTAAATAAATTATTAATCAAAATCAATCAATTATAAATATTAATTACCTTTGTTTTTCTTATCACTCTTAATTTCTTGAGAATATATTATTATTAATCTTAATATGGAAAAAAGAAAAAGTTGAAAACGTAAAATGATAAATTTTTTTTTAGACGTTACTTATATACACAAAGAAGAAATCTTTAAAAAAGCCAAACAAAAATTAAATCTTTCTTCTATATATGTATATTTTTTATAAATGTTTTCAGGTGCTGTTATGTTGTTGTTGTTCTAAATACTTTTTATTGCCGATGCTATTACTATTACTCTATTCAAATAAAATAAAATAATCAATAATCGATGATATATTATTATATTAACAACGAATTATATGTTTATATATAAAATATTTATAACATACAACAAAAACAGAGAAAATGAATATTTAAAAATTAAAAAAGAAGAACAAAAAGGGACAAAAAAACAACTACAAATGATAAAAAAATTTTTGTTGTGCAAGTGCTTTATATTTAAAAAAATTAATATTAAATAAAAAAAATAATAATATAAAAAAATAAAATAAAAAAGTAGTTTTTTTTTTGTGCAAGTAATTCTTAGGTTTGTGAGATTGAGTGTGGTGTGTATGTATCTTTCTGTCCGTGTGCTATTTATTAATTAGTAATCATTATCACATATGTCTGAGGGGAGGAGGTGAGAAGGTAATTCTTTTTTCTTTTTGAATCTTAGAAAACATTTAAAAAAAATTTTTATATGGAAACACAAAAACCCAAATTAATTGTTGTTGTGTGATCAATTGCTTTATAATCCAAAAAAATATTTTAAATAATTATTTGTGTACTTTATTAATATAATAAATAGTTAGCCTCTTTTAGAACTAGATTAGTAAATAAATAGCCATAGTTTTTTTATTAATAATTGAACTTGTTTAAAAAGTATAGTGTGAATTTAAAAAAATATATATATACGGAAATTTATCGGTAATTAAATTGAAAAATTATCTAATTTGGCATATAAAATTGATGAATTTTTTGTTCTTCCAACAAAAAAAAAATTTTTTCATTGTCAATTATAACTTTTGAAATTATGTTCATTGTGTTGTAACTAAAATAATTTAATCATTTATTATAACGATAATAATAATAATATATTTGTATTCTTTATTCCATTTATTGATCTCATTCGTTAACCGTTAACCTATTATCTTTCCCTTTGTATCCTTTCCAATTAATTTCGATGGTTAGTAGGCTAGATGAAATTTCTTTATAACCAGTGAATAATGTCGCACAAAAAAATATCAAATGTTTGATGACGATGAATATCGGATGTAAAAATAAATAAATGTATGAGTGAGGTTAGATTTGAATATGACTATGCGAAAGTGTGATAACGATGGCGTGAATGAGATGGATGACGAAATAAGTAGCATGGATAAAAATTCGGAAAGATGGGTAAATAAGTTTATAGAAACAATTCTTTTATTTTATTTTATTATTTTTTATATTATTAGGTAATACAAGACTTTTATTATTTAACAATAGACAAAGTTGTTAACAATTAGATTAAAACAATGTGGATTATGTCAAATTCTCGATTCTCCCCTAAAATTTTACATTGTTTATGTTACTCAATATTATTAATTGTAACCGTAAAATAACTTCATGTGATTAAAAGTAATTTTCAACCAAATGGCAAAAAATAGAAGTGGACTACCAGGAAAGCTAATAAGATAATTAACAATAATTTCATTATGCAACTAATATCATACAATTCATTTTCTTCTTTTATCCATAACTTTCCATTAGGAATCTTTTTTAAAATGGGAAATCAAACAGAGGATTATTATATCAAAAAAATAATGCATTCATATATGGATATGGATATCGATACACACATACATGTGCTATATATATCCTTTATCCGTCCATTATTTGTTGTAACACTATAACGTAAAAACACTCCAGAAAAAGGCATTACATCATTCACGTTTACTTTTTTTCATGTTAATATTTTTCCCGATTCCGGCACCATTCTTTGTCCGACAACCATTTGTGGAATATGTCAAAAAAAAATTTTACAAAATTGATGATGAAATTTATTAACCGAGCAACTATTGTATATAATAAAAAATGTGGGAAGGCTTTAATAATTAATAAATTGTATACGTAATGTAATGTTAAAATAAACATCTAAACAAATAGGATAGGAAACATGGCTATATTTTTAAAAAATTTGCTTAAAAAAATTAAAAAAATTAAATAATAAACAAAAAATTATTAATTGTTACTAAAATCGGTAAAGCAGGCCATATTTAAAACCAAATTAGCCACATCCTGAAATTTCTTTATATAATCTATTATCAATTTGTCTCAATCTAATCTTCTTTTAACCAATAAAATTTACCACAAAAAAATGTAATAAAATATTATATATAATAAAATCTATAAATGCTCTGATAATAATGATAACAAACAATTGATTAGATCCAAGTTTATTGAAAAAGAATCATTATAAAATATAAATTTTTTAATAATAAAAAGATGTTACCTTTCTGGTGTAATTCCTTTGAATTCATTAATGTTTTTAGGATTGGTTTGTACACGTAAACTCACTAATCATTATCATTAATCAATAAATTCAAATCAATTGATTTTTTTGTTTCTTAAACAAGAAACTTATTATTATTATTATTACCTGCTGAACAAAAACTTCCAATAGTTGAAATAAAACCTGCAAGAAATGCATTATATGGATAAGTTCCTGCCAAGATACAATAAACAAATTGAATGATTCCCGACAACATTATATATACTAAATATGCGTCAATAAGTTTAAGACTTTGTGGTGTATCTTTTTGATATGTTGTCCATAACCTCTTTACAATACCATATCCAGATTTAGTTTTATTATTACTCTTGTCCATAATTTTGAGAGTAAAATTGGCAGAAATTTTATTCGTTAAAAAAGTGATATACATGATTTTTTTAATTGGTTAATTTTAATTGTTACACACAAAATCGAAGGTTTTTATTTATTAAAATAATTAAATAAAAGGATGGTATGAAAAATAAAAAATAATTATATTATATATTACTACTTCCAAATCTAGATTATCAAGAAAGAAAAAAAGTCAGTTTATATTTATATTGAAAGAATTAATATAGATACATATGTATATGTATATATAAATAATACCTTTATAGTTTTATCTGCACATCCAGTTATTAAGTCATGATTTCCTAAAGTCATTGCATGTACAAACCCTACCGATTTTTTTTATTTGTTAATAATATAAATAAAATAAGACAAAGTCAATTATTATGATTTTCTTCTCAAATAAATAAATAAATAAATGTATATATATAGAAAATTAAATTGTACCTTTATGTCCTTTTAACGTAGCATTACATACTAAACCATTCCTTACATCCCATCTTTTTATTGTATGATCAAAACTTGCACTAAATAATGCACCATCTGTATATACCAATTGCCAAACCTCCCAATTATGACCAGATAATGTTTTGACAGGTGAATAATCTTTTAAATTATATACATGAATAACGGCCTCATACGTTGATGCAAATAAAAGATTATCACCAGACGCAACATCTAAAACTTCCGATGAATGTGAAGAAATGGTTTTTATACATGTTCCTGTATTTACGTCCCAAATCTAAAGATGGAAGGGAAAAGAACAATATTATTAATAAAATTCAAAGCTTGATCAACAATTGTTTTTTCTAAAAAAAAAATTAATGGTTTTTTAACCTTTACTGTATGATCACTTCCAGCAGTAGCCAATTTATTATTGTCCATAGCTATCAAATTATTTACACCATCTTGATGACCAGTAAAAGTTGCAAGGTTTTCCAATGTTGTAGGATCCCATACTTTTACAGTTTTATCTGATGAGGCAGAATAAAGTCGATTATTGTTAATAACTAAGCCATAGATTTTACCGCTATGTTGGGTTAAAACATCAACACAATTATTTGATCTATCATCCTTCCAATCCCACACCTACCCAAAAAAAATTTTTAAAATTAATCTGAATCAATAATAATAATAATAATAATAATATATTTTTTTTGTTAGGAAAGTATTCTATTATAATAACCTTTATTGTACCATCTGAACCTGCACTAAAAAATCTTTCGTTCACTGGATAAGCTGCTAAAGCCCAGACTGACATTCGATGGCCATGTAAATTTTTTAGTAATTGACCAGTATCTGCTTTAAAAATCTAATATATATAGATTTATTATTTGATGAGGATTTATGTGTCAATTACCCGTAGAAATCCGTATATGTAATTATTTACAAAACTAATTACATTAAAATATTATAGGCGTGTATATATATATTTGATATAAAAGAACCTTGGTCGATCCATCATGAGCCCCTGAATATATCAATTCATTATTATAAGCCAGCGATGTCACTCCACAAGTGTGTTCTGATATAGTTTTTTGACAAACGACATCACCAAGCGGGAAGTCCTTATTTAAATTATTAAAATTACGTTAAAAATTTTTCAAACATTTATTAAAAACAACGATCATATACTCAATATTTAACATACGTCTTTTCTCGAGTCATCATCTTCTTCCACCGAATTATAATCAATTCCATTTCCATTTAAATAATTCAAGCCTTTTGATGATGACGTCTATCATTAATAATTATGTAGGTTATTTTTGATTTTTTAAAAAAATAATACATGTGGAGATAATATCTGATATTTTACCGTCATTTTTGATATAATATTTTGTAGTTTTTTTAATTCTCGTTGTTGTTCCTAATTAATTTGCATATAGATCATACATATATATAAAAAAGGTTACCTATGCGTATATGTGTGTATACATATATAGTTATTTATATCTCTAAAATTATATGAAACTCTACAAGATCTTTTTCTTTTAAAAAAAAACTAACGTATATACCATTATAATATTTTCCAATTTTCCAATCCTATCATTATTACTTATAATATAATTCTTGAATTTTTCAAATATACAGTTCTCTAGATGATTTTTGATATTTTGAATTGTACCTAAAATGGTAATGATGGCGATGATAATAATAATATTTAATAATCTAATCAAATCTTCAACATCAATGCGAATGATATATTTCGATCTATTAATTAATCATTTATTATTATTAGATTTAATATCTCTACCTTTAAAATCACACCCCCATTGAGCGTTCTGACACTCGGCTGGTCTATATTTACAATGCATGAAATGATGCTCATATGAATCTAGACAAATTGTCGTTGGACAACCGTATTGTTTGTTTGGACAATAAACTAAAAGTTCTTGAATCAATCCAGCAACCGCAAGATTAGGGTGAAGATCTGAAAAATATATATATATATATATATTTTTTTTTTAAAATAAAAAGTGATAAATTAATTAATTTTAATAAATTAAATGGCACAAACCATCAACCTTTAAGCGGCAGCGACAGAGTGGACAATAAGGTTCCACTTCTAAACTTTGATATATACATGCAGCACAAAATGAGTGACTACAGGCTCTCGTAATTAAAGGCTCTTTACAAGTATCATGACAACTGCAATAAATTTTTTTTAATTAATAAATTTAGGCAATGTTGTTAATGAGTTTTCCTTTCTTGTATACTAACACTGGACAAAGAAGGGAGGGTGAGGGAGTATGTACAAAATCAATATTTTCTTCCGATGTGTTGTTGCTCATTCTTTAATTATTATTTTTTTATTTTTTTAGATCAAAAAAAATAATTTATACTACAAATGACGATGATAGTGTTGCATTGATATGACACGCGACTTTCCCAATTTGACTACGATGATCAAAAATTTTAATAATATTTACGTTACACGAACATCATTAAGATTTTTTTAAAGAAAAAATTTAAAAAAAAAAAAAATCATGTTGAGAAACCAAAACATTATATTATTTAAAAAAAAATCAGTTTCTTTCACCACAATCTTTTTCATCTTTACAATCTTATTTATAAGGTCAAGCTCACCATTATACTTTTATCTTGAGGGAAGTGAGCAAAAATGTTTCATTGAAGAACTACCAAAGGATACACTTGTTGTAGGTTCGTGTTTGCAAATTTAACTTTTAAATTTTTTTATTCAAATTTAAAAAGTAATCATTATAATTACGTTTATATTTATATGAAAAATTGGGTTGTTTTAGGTACTTATAAGGCAGAAGAATGGTCTGATGCACAACAACAATATATTGAGAACTCGAACATCGGAATTCAAATAACTGTAGAGGTAAATATAAGTTTACACACAAAAAACAATTTAATGATCCAAATTGATCAATTTATATATATATATATATATATACATACATGCATACATGCTATTTATTAATTAATTCAGGAACTACCACTCAATCATCGCATTGTAAATCAAAGAGGTTCAAATAAAGGTCGTTTTACTTTTACTGCATCGGGATCAGGTGATCATGCCATATGTTTACAAACAAATTCAAGCCATTGGTTTTCAACTTCTCAAACGGTTTGTTTTATTGTTTCCTTTTTTTCCACAAAATTTTTATAAAAAAAAATAAATAAAAAGAAACTTATATATAATTTGGTTTGTAAATTTTAAATAAACAACAGAAATTACATTTAGACATGGCGGTTGGTGATGCAACTGATCATGAGGAGGATGATCAAGAACATTTTAGTGGTAGGTGGAAAAAAATTGTTTGATCATTATTTGTTGTAATTCATAATAATATAAAAAATCATTTTAATTATTCAGGTCTCGCTCAAAGAGTTCATGATCTAAACAATCGTATCACCGAAATTAGAAGAGAACAGAGTTATCAACGAGTAAGTAAAGATTATTATTATTATTATTATTATTTATATTAATAATAATAATAATAATAATAATAATAATAATACTAAAATCATATTAAATTTTAATTTAGGAACGTGAAGTAGAATTTAGAGACCAATCAGAACTCACAAATTCAAGAGTATTATATTGGACTTTAGTTCAATTGACAGTTCTTGGAATTACGTGTTTATGGCAAATGCGACATTTGAAGAAATTCTTTGAAACAAAAAAACTTGTTTAAATATTATCACTATAGTAAATATATATATATATATTTATTTATGCCGTTTTTTTAAAAAAGAATAAATATAGAAATATTAATAATTTAAAATTTATATATTGTAAAGCTATAAAAAATTTAAAAATTATAATTATAAAAATTTTTAAATTTTTTCTTTTTAGGGGAACAAATCTTTATTATAAATTTGTTGGACTTCTGTATTCTCTTTATAACTTAGACTATCAACTTTATGAAAATCTTTTATAATAATCAAAAACATTGTTAATTAATAAATAAAAAAATAAAAGATTTTAAAGAGTCAAAACAACAATTCTTTGAATAAATAAATAAATACAATAAATACCTAAAATTTCTTGATACATTTTAACTTTCCACTCATCAATGGGAAGGTCCGCATCATTAAATGACCAATCAAATACTTCGTCAGCAATTGGTTCATCTGATTCATCATGATACTGTTCCAAGTATTTATGAGATAGAGCTTGTTCGGCATTAATACGTTTTATTGGATCAAACACAAGCATTTTTTCAAGTAAATCCAATGCTTTAAAAATCATTATAAAACTGTTATTATTATTTATAATTTAAGCGTGTGTACGTGCATGTATGAATTTAAAGAATTATATATTACCATCAGGATCGGCATTCGTAAACTTTTCAGAGAATGGAACTTTTTCTCTCTGTGGTAATGAGAGTACAAATCTTAAAGTCTATCAATCAAAAAATAAAACAAATAACGATTAATTTTTTAAATTAGAAGAAAGTCAAGAATTAATGAATGAATGAGTAATAAATACGTTTTCACTGCAGATTGTTTTGATTACATCCTCTGGTGGTGTACCAAGTAATTCAGTAATAATTGAAAATTGATTTACATCTTATAATAAATAGCGATAAAATTTAATAATAATTTTCAATAAAATTTTTTTAACAAATTAAAATATTTAACTTACGATCTTTCCCGGGAAATAAAGGTTTTCCCTCTAACATTTCTGCAAAAATACAACCAGCACTCCAAATATCCACTAATATAATATAAAGGATCAATTATTTAAATAAATAATGAATAATGAATAATGAATAATGATATATGATATATGATATGATGGTACGATGTGTTATTTCATTACCTGCTACATCATATTTTTGCCATGTTAACATGATTTCAGGAGCTCGATAGTATCTAGTTGAAACATAACCAGTCATTTGTGGATCTTGAATGCGAGCCAGACCAAAGTCACAGATCTTTACAAAATATAAAATATTTATATTTATAAAGGTTTATGTTGTAATTAAATAACTAAATATATTTCATAAATACCTTCAAGTCACAATTTTCATTAATTAAAATGTTACTTGGTTTCTAAAATTAATAAATAAAATATTATAATAACATGGTCATCAATTAGAATTAATCCTTGTTCTTAAAAAAATATCAAAGAATAAATTATTCTAGGAAAATTTTATTATTCTTCTTCTTGTTACAAACCAAATCTCTGTGAACTACGCCAGCCGAATGAACATATTTTAAACCACGCTATATAAATAAATAAATAAATAAATAAATATATATATATATAAAAATAAAATATCATAAAAAAATTTTTAATAATTTTAAAATCTTACTAATATTTGATATAAGAAATATTGAATAAATTGTTTCTCCAATGGACGTGAAGTCAACAATCGATGCAAATCTGTTCCCAATAATTCAGTAACAAAATATCTAGTTAATATGTATATGATATTTTATATTATATATACATTGTTTTAAATATCAATTGTTAATTTTAAAAACAAAGCATTATAAATAAGATCATTTTTCTTTTATAATTTAATTTACACATACATACATATCTTCTAATGGAGAAATAAAAATATCACTCAAGCTAATAATCTGTCATTTATTAATAATTTAGAAATAAATAAATTAGTTATTAGATCAAGATAATTGAAGAATTTAGTAATAAAAAACAATAATCACATTTTCATGTTTTAGATGCTTGAGTAACTTTAATTCACGATAAGTCCTTTTTGAAAGAACAGGTGTACTAAAAGGCTTCATTATTTTCTTAATGGCAACACTGGCTCCAGTCAGTTGGTCTTTTGCCGAACTAATATATAATTATTGAAGATTATTTATTAACTTTAAAGTATCGCGTTACTTTGCGTAAAATATAAACTTTTCAAACCTACCAAACCAAACCAAATGCACCCATGCCAACTGGTTGAAGATCCACATATCTAAAAATTTTTTAAAAAGGTTTACTTTACATGTTCACTATTTGAAAAATGCACCAATAATAAAAAAATTAAAGCACCTTGTAGTAACTTCAAAAACAGTTCCGAAAATCGACAACTTTACAAAATCGGCCATTATTTATTGATTCAAAAGATTCAAAATAAAAAAATTTTTTTTTGAAATTGTATTGGGAAAATGAAAATATATTTAAAACTTTGTTGGATCAATCAGTCAGTTCATTTTAATTCTTATCATTTAATAGTTTTTGTGGATGTCGAAAATCCAGTGTGGGGAATGAGGGTATCACGTTACACGTCCCAACTTTGTATTACTTATCTGGAACTATATAGATGATTCTATCGTAAGACATACTATAATAATAAAATGCATGCATGAATTTTTGGGGTCATCCTAGTCCTATTATGCACAATGAAATAAATATTGCATCACATATTAAAAAGGAAATCAATTAAAACGGATCCAAATGTTTTGTTTATAGAGCTGATGTAATCAACGATACAATCATCAACAAATAGTCTATTCAAGTTATTGAGGACTTGAAAATTATTACAATTTCAGGGTTCTATCTGATTGAGAACTTTTTTAAGGCGTGTCAAATATTTAATCCTTTACAATTAATATTAAGGAAAGTTATTTAAAGCTCTACAATGTTTGTAATTAAATGATTATTGAAAATTAAATACATTTTGGTGCATAATTAATATTAAAATTGCATACATAATAATAATGTATTTATTGCATAATTTCCCGCATAGATCATACATGCATTGTACAACTAGTAAACAGGTTTAATGTTATATTATTGCCTATTATTTTTGTTGAAATTAACGCTTTGTCAAAAAAATAAATGGCTTAATATTATTAAGCACAAACGCTTTCAAACTAGCACTCCATACTTCTTATTCATCTGCTGTCACTTTACAAGTTTTAACACCACCATTAAAAAAGGAAAAAAATAATAAAATAGACAAGAATAAAAAGGCCAAAAAAGTCAAAAGAACCGAAAAGACCATAACGTGCATACATCTAATTTTCCATGGATACGAGTGCGCACTTATATGTCTTGATCGAAACGCATGGATAGTGATTTGGTGTCCAAATTTACGCACTTTATAGAAAGTTAGTTATACAACAAACATAAATTTTCAGCTTTTGCCACAAAAACAACTACCAAAAGACAAAAATAAAAAATGCGATTGTTTTTTACCAATAAACTTATTTAGCTAAAATGAAAAAATCATTATATTGAAGTTGATTTTTTTCTGTTTAATAAATAAATATTAATATTTTTAAAAAAACAATAATCTTGTAATCGATTAGAGCAGGTCTCTCTCTCTAGCTAGTATTTTCTAGAATAGATTAT